AGTTTAGAGAAGAAACTCTCACACATCATTTCTTCTACTACTTCATTTGAGACGATTACCTGTTCCATCATCTTACAGTCACAAATCTTGAGCACCATGAGTTGCTTGAAACTCTTAACCATAGAAGACATGAACAGATATTTCAAATTGTCAATTGAAGACAAGCTTAAAAACTTCAACTTGGGAAACCCAACCTGCAGATAGATTTTAGTTGGAATAATAATTTTTTAGAACAATAAAAATTTTTTATGAGAACAATAAAAAATTTTTATGAGATTAAACTATTTCAAAAACAAAGGGACAAAATGACAAAGAAGAAATCACCTTCTCATCAAAAAGAAATGACGTGTCAATATTTTCTGCATGATAGAATCTTGTGAGTTTGTAAAGATTTACGAGTTCTAAGGTGTGCAGTTCAGGGAAGGAAATTGTTTCTTCCTCTGATTCTTTTGAATCTATTACGGCTTCCATCATTTCACAATCACAAATCTTGAGCCATTTGAGTTGGTTGAAACTCATAACCATAGAGGAAGTTAATAGATATTTCACTTTGCCACAACCCTCCACAAACAACTTTTTTAAATTCTGTATAGGAAGAGAAATTTTTGAATTCTGTGTAGAAGAAGGGATTTTTGGAGTCGAAAGATCCCAGATTTGTTGAATGTTAATTGAAGACAATCTCAACAACTTCAACTTGGGAAATTCAACCTTCAAAGAGATTCTTAATTAGAATAAAAATTTGAAGAATCTAATTTAAAAATACAAAATCTATGAGGTGTAACTAACTGAAAAATAAAGCGAAAAACAAAGAAAAAATTACCTTTTCATGAAAGAGAGATGGCGTAAAAGTATTTTCTACATTTTCAATACTGGCAGCAGGAAGGCACTCACTTATCGTAGCGTTGGAGTTTCCAAGATAGAATCGTGTGAGTTTGGGAAGTTCTTCAAGTTCTAGAGTGTCCAGCTCAGGAAAGGAAATCTCGCACATCCTTTCTTCTACCTTTATTACCTCTTCCATCATCTTGCAATCAGAAATCTTGAGCACCATGAGTTGTTTAAAACTCTTGACCATAGAGGAGGTCAATAGATACTCCAAATTACCACAACCCTCCACAAACAAGTTCTTTAAGTTTTCAAAAGACATGATTTGCTTACTCGAAATGTGCCAAATTTGCTTAATGTTAATTGAAGACAGCCTCAAAAAGTCCAACTTGGGAAACTCGACCTGCAAAAAGATTCTTTAGTTTTTAAAGACAAAAAGACATTGTCAAAAGCTTGTTGTTGCCAGTTTTGATGAATGCCAATTGAAGACAACTTCAACAGCTCCAAGTTGGCAGACTCAGCCCGATATAATCTCCTTTCATATAAATTTTTATGCTTTGATTAATTAAACCAACAACAATGTAAGGATAATCTCAAAGCAAAAAAATGGGAAATGACATGCAGTTATTGTATGATATATGTAAAAAAAACTGATTTATTAACAACATTTGTTGATAACAATAGTAGTTTTGTTATTTTTTAAATATTCTCTATCATTTAAAATTTTAAATAATAATA